GGGAGCGGGGGTGCCAGGAATCTCGGAGCCTGCTACAAATGACGTTATGCTTTACTTCCCTGCCATTCCTTTTACTTTCGCAAAGTCAGGTGCGCATACGCGCATGTCACAGGTGGAGCTGAGCCTTGACCACTGATGCCACGGCAGAAAACTGGTCAAGAGCTGAGTCAGCCTTCATGCAGCCCGTCAACGCTGCCTGGACGCCCGTCTCCGCCAGCCATGGTGCTGGTCCAGGCACTGACGGGCATCCAGGCGGCAGCTGCTACCCAGAGCACATCACGAGCCAGGGCTGGGGATACAGGAGTGAAGCAGGTACCACTTCAACGCTTTAGGAACACTCCGTCTAAGGGGACAGCAAGGGGCAAACAGTGGCTGTACCCCTCAGGGGAAACACACAGTGGCCACTCAGACCACCTGGGCTACTGTGCCCCTTGGGGGACATCTAGCAATGTCTGGAGGCAGCTCAGACCACCTGGGCCTGGGGTACTACTGACACCTAGTGGGCAGGGGCCATGGATGTTCTGGGCATCGTGTAGTGCACAGGATGGCCCCAGGTGTCAGCAGCCCTGACCCAGAGAGGGCAGGTGGGGAAGGGCCTGATGAGGCGACAGTGGAGCCCCGGACAAGAGGCCAGATCACCCAGAGAAGGGCCAGGCCCGGGGATGACCAACGGTGTGGGTGAGAGGACGCCTGCCAGGAGGGCCTCCAGGGCCAGGCAAAGAGTGTCCACCCTCTCCTGGAAGACGAGGGGCGTCTGAGCACAACCAGAGTGTAGCAGCCCCTGGGCTGGCTGCAGAGGGGCAGCAGGGAGTCTGGCTGCAGGCGGCTCTGGCTGATGAGGAGGGTCTGAAGGCCAGGTGGGGTCTGCAAGAGTAGAGACGGGGCAGAGGAGAGGAGGGACTCAAGGCTGCAGGGCTGGCCCTGGACCTCTTCTCTGGCCCTTAGAGAGGTAGCCTCCTTCAGGGAGATGGGGAAGGAACAGCAAATCAGTGAGCCCTTGGCCCAGGACCCCCAGGCAGGGCCACAGTGCCTGGACCCACACTCCCAAAGCTCTGGGGCTTCCAGGCCACAGACCCATGTCAGTCCCTCTGTAGCACCTTGGTCTTCGCATCCTGAGCCTTATCACAGTTTTCATTACAAACGTGTCTGTGCTCCAGGGGGACAGAGACCATTCTCCGGCTTTCCAAGGACACGCACGATGCCGGCGCACAGTGGGTCTCGGTGAGTTCCAGTCCAGCAGATGGACAACAGGCAGAGGAAAGGAACTCACAAGACCAGCAGAAGAGGGCCGGAAAAGCATCGTAGCGTGCAGGGAGGCCGCTTTCAAGGAAGAGCAGGTGTTGGCCCTATGAAACTCCCCCAGAGACCCAACAAGAGAAGGCCGGAAAGCCTCCCTGGGGCAGAGCAAGGAAGAGCAGGGCTCTAACAGAGAGGAGGAGAAGCAGGAGCCTGGGAGGGGACAGGAGAGAGAAGGATGGTCCTCCCTTGGATGCCGCATGTCAGCCAATGGCCACGCCCTCTCGGGGGTCACTCAGCACCCCCACGCACAGGCCATGCCGCTCTTGGCTCTTCCTGACCGCTCCTCTCAAGCAAGCCACCTTGGGCATCGAATGCTGTGCCGCCCCTGCCTCCTCTCCTCTGATCTCAGCGCAGCAACCTTGAAAACCTGACTCAGATCCAGATGGTGCTCAGAGTCCATAAAGGCCCCCCACAGCCCGCACAGCCTACAACACCAGCCCCAGCCACCTCTCCGTCCTGCCCTCCCCTCTCGCTCTGCCAATCTCCAGCCTGTGGCTGTTCCTTGAAATCGCAGAGGATACTCTCACCCCAGGACTTTTGCACTGGCTTTTCCTCTGACTAGAATGCTCTTCCCAGATACCTGAGCGCCCCTCCCGCGTGAGGGTCAGGTTTCTGGTCAAAGGTTGCCCATCAGAGAGTCCTTCCCTGACTACCCTTCCCATCTGCCCCCACCTCCTTATCACTTGGTGCTACATGTGTTCACTTACTGCCCCTCCTGGAGTCCTACTGCATGAGGGCCAGGGCCGTGTGCCCCAGCGCTGGGACGGTGCCTGCACACAGTAGGCCCTCAAAAAATACTTGAAGAATGAATGAATGGACGGCTTCAAGCCCCAGAGGAGACATTAGCAGAATCTGCTGTGAAGATGCATTGAAATATCGCGTGGACTGCACTCAGCACCACACCTGGGCATAGTCAGTGCCGCCAGGCACAGTCGGCCCCTCCTGTTGCAGGCTCTACGTCTGCCATTCGACCAACTGTGGGTTGAAAATGTTCAGGGAAAAACAATAAAAAATAACACAAATAAGAAAAAAATACAGCATAACAACAATTTACATAGAATTTGCATTGTTTTGAGTATTATAAGTGATCTAGAAATGATTTAAAGCATACAGAAGGGTGTGCGTAGATTATGTGCAAATACTATACTATTTTATATCAGGGACTTGAGCATTCGAAGATTTTGGTGTCTTTAGGGGTCCTGGGACCAATCCCCCACAGATACTGAGGGACAAGTGCATTGGCAATTATTAAAATGGAATAAATGTTCTTCAAGTGCTTCCATGGTGCAGCCTCAGTTTGGGCTTCCTGTGTCCCCGCATCACAGAGCCAGCTCAGGACCCCCAGCTCCTCCCGCCCCCACACGCCCACCCCAGCCAGCAGCCCACTGAGCCGCAACGAGTTTCCGTAACTTTTCTCCTTCTGAAATGACTTTGAAGAGTCTGCTCTCTCCCCTACTAATGACCACAACCTGTTCCAGTGAATAATTGTTTCAAAATGAGACCAATCAAAAACTTATGACCATGAAAAAAAAAAAACTCTATGACAAACACACAGACGCAAGCTGCCTGTCTCCCAAATCTTATTGCATCTCAACCAGTTTTGGAAGTGTCTGTGGGCCACGGCCAGGCTTAATGAACTGCACAAAAACACTGTTGGAAGGGCCAGTGGGAAATGACCCAAGGGGGCTTGTGCATAAATAAAATGTCCCCAGGACCCCAGTGCTGGGAGACCCTTGGGCACTTGAACGACTGCCGGCCAGGCCAGGCCTGAAGGGAGCAGAGGACGGGATCCAGCCAGCTGTGGGGGCCCGGTGGAGAGGCCTGTGGACAGTAGAGGGCACGGCACACCCAATACCCCCAGGGTCAACACCGTGAGCTCTTCCAGCAGGAATCTGCGGCCTTTTCGATACCCTGTACTCCTTCCTGTGGCTGCCATAATAAACCACCACAAACTTGGTGGCTTCAAACAACAGAAATGTATTCTCTCACACAGTTCTGGTGAACAGGAATCCAAAATCCATATCACTGGGCCAAAATAAGACATGGGCAGGGCCGCACCCCCCATAAGCCCTGGGGAGACTGCTCCTTGCCTCTTCCAGCCTCTGGTGGCTGCTGGCCTGCCTTGGCTTGTGGCCTCGTCACTCCAGCCTCTGCCTCCGGGGTCACATGGCCACCTCCTCTGTGTTGTCAAATCTCCCCTTCTTGTAAGGATGGGTGTGACGGCATTCGGGGCCCTCCTGGATCATCCAGGGCCCTTCCCAGCGCAAGCTCCTTGGCTCCATCACGCCTGCGGAGGCCCTTCCGAGTGTGTGCCGTACACGGGAACCTTCGCAGGTGCCAGGGACCAGGATGTGGGCATCTTCAGGGCCATTCTTCAGCCTCCCGCACACCACACCCTCTTTACCCTTCACCGTCTCATACCTCTGGCGTGCAGGTTGTGTGCAGAGACACAGTGGGAGGGGAGGTGCACAGGCCGGGCAGTGGGGAGCGCTCTAGGAGAGCGTGAGGAAAGCCCCGGATGCTGCCCTAGCTGGCCGTGTCAGGGGCTCAGGGCCGGCTCAGGCCATCGTGGCTGAGAGCATAGGTGCTTCCCAGCCGGGCCGCACACCTGGCGGCCAGGGCTTCTGTGAGGGGAGTGTCAGGAGGCCTGTGCTTGCACACACAACCTCCCTCTTTGCAGGCCCCTCCTCTGTAGGCCACCGCTGCCTCCATCCTCGGAGCAGGCCAGGACAGCAGGGATGGCACATTCTTTGGCATGTGGCCTCTTTGAGATGAGCGGGCCCACTCCCACCCACCACCTCTCTCCCCAGATGGAGAAAAGACCCAAGTCATAAACCAGATGAAAGACATGTTCTGTTCTGCCCTGGACCAAGGGCTCGCCTTAAATAAAAACAGGCTGCAGCTATCTGTTGCTGACGCTAATCTTGGCCGTATTCTGCAGATCAGCCTGAAGGGTGCTCACGGGGCATCCGGGACTCTGCATCAGCACGCCCAGTGCCAGCAGCCTGCAGCCTCCCCCGCCCAAGAGAGGGCCTGGCAGAGCAGCCAGAACCCCAGGAGCGCCACCGCCCCAGACCAAGGCCGCAGTGGGCGCCGACAGCCTCCCACACCTTCCTCAAAGGGCCCAGAGCCCACTTCCCATGCAGCCCACCCACCCCACGAGCGCAGGCCACCAAGTGTCCCCTGGCACCCATCAACGAGCTGGTGCCACTCTGGTTTCTCTTGTTTTCCCAATTCCTGTCAGCTTGTTCCTGCTACCAGCACAGCTCAGGGGTGAGCAAGCTGCTTTGCAGGAAGCTTCATGTGGGAAAAATAATGATGTTTGTGGCACACACTTGGGGGGATTCACAAGCAAATGGCTTGACTGTGTGATGTGGCAGAGAGGGAAGAGAGCCTCCGTTCCTGGGCAATGTATTTCACGCGCGAGAAGACGCGTGTGAGCAACGGGGGTGGGGGCGGCTTTCTACTGCAGGCTCCAGTGACCAGCCCGCGTCCTGGACCATCCTGACATCAGCCCCGGGCAGCCCAGGGAGAGGACAGAGGAGTCTAGTACTCCATGCCAGCCAGCGGCAGATGCAGGAGGGAAGAACGGAGTTGCCTGTCTCTCTGGCCCGCAGTGGTGGCGACTCCCTACACATGGGACTCACCTGGTAGTGGGATACCCCCCGCTGCAGGACGGAGTCTCGTGCGAAGGCACTTACCACGTTCCAGTAGAGCGGATTGAAAGCAATGGTGAGGACGGCCACCAGAAAGCTGGAATCTGAGGGGTCCACGTAGCCCAGCAGCCAGGTCATAACGCAGAGGTCAGCCTGCGGGGACAGTGCCAGCGTCAGCGGGAGGCCCACCCAGAGAGAGCCAGGACCTCAAGCCCGCAGAACTTGGACACAAAGTTACCCTCTGGGAACACACCAGGAGGCTCGGGAACACACAAGTCAGCAAAGGTTACTATAGTGTAATCTCATAAAACGGAAGATAAAAAGCCGAAAGCTAATCAGCTGTGTCGTGCCCTGTCGGGAGGGTGGCGGGGCCGGCGGCCACAGAAGTAAATGTGCGTGGACGCTGGCCAAGGAAATCAGAGCCTCTGAAGATGGACACTCAGTACCCACAAAGGGAGAGACACCAAACCTGGATGTGACTGGGACCCTCCAGGATGGGGGCTCCCGAAAGCCCCAGAGAACAGACGTGAAGACATGTTCAGCCCCAGTAATGAGGTCAAAGCAAACTAAAACCATGGTGCAGTGCCTCTCCTCACCCCAGCCTGCCACGGGACGAGCCTGAGCCAAAGGGGTGTGCGCCCACCCGCCAGCCACGCCACCCGCTCCCGACAGCTGGCAAGACAACGATCAGGAGCACTGAGAGACAACCTCGGTGGCCGGAACTGAAGACTGGAGAAAGCCAGCGTGGCCGTGCCTGCGGCAGCCCAGCTACAGAAGCTGAAAGGACTAGAGACCCACATTCGACGACGCGTCTCCTTCGCAAACACATAACCTCCGAGTGAAAAGAACAAGCTGCAGGACTCACAGCCTACACAATAAATTTTTAGAAAATAATGCAAAACAATGTAGTACTTAACATTCTTTCTGTGTGTGCACTTTAATGCACCAAATTCATGACATTTGCTGCCTCTAGAGTAGGGTTTCTCGACCTGGGCACTGTTGACATTTGGGGCCAGATTACTGACTGGGTGGAGGCCCGGGGCTGCCTTGGGTATTTCAGGACCTTCAGCAGCACCCCGGCCTCCTCCACCCCAGCATAACAACCAAAGATGTCTCCAGATGCTCCCAAATGTCCCCTGGGAGCAAAATTCCCTGCAGTGAGACCCTCCACTCTAAAGGCAGAGAGGACAGAACAAGAAGACACTTTCAACATTGATTTCTTTCTTTAAAACAGGAGAGCCGCCCCTGATGAATTCGGGTGGTAAGTCTTTGTATTCTGCTCTAAATTTTTCTTTATTTTCCATTTCAGAAAGTTTTTTTTATAAATTGCTCATAAAGTGCACTGAAAAGTATTACAGTGTCCCTCCACATGCAATTCAAAATAAAAATAATACTAAATTGTAAAATAAACGTAACGTCCATCAGAGCTGTGATCTTTCCCCTGAGGCCTACTTTGACGGTGTGTTTTGTTTTGTTTCCTTTGGGGACATAGTAAATTCTTTCAAGGAGTGCTTCTGTCTCCCACTTTTTGGGAAGGGGGTGGGGAGGAAAGAGCTCCAGATCTGTCCGAGGGTCACTCAGCCCAGCCGGTCTTATCTTCTGTTGACAATAACCCTTATTGAGCTTCTCCTGCTTGCAAGGCCCTGTCCACTGACAGGCTGGTGGGGGGAGGGAGGGAAAGTTGTGGGCAGCAGACCATAGCCAACTGGAAGTCTTCACTCATACCTCCCCCTCCTCCCCGTTTCCCACTCAACTCCGGCCCTCAACCCCCAGACAAAACTTCACCAAGCCCGAGCCCCTCCCTATCTCATTCCAATTGTCCAATCAGCCCATTGTCCTACTGGTCATTCCTCCTTGTACATAACTACTTAATCCACTCCCTCCCCCAGGGCATAACAAAGGACCTCATGGTCTCCTGCCTTTGGACTTCCCCCCAGAGCCCTCTCCATGGAACCTCACCTGCCTGCTGCCTTGCATCCCAGGACTCACCTACTCACGGCTCCCCCAGCCCAGCACTCAAAAGTCAGGGGGAGTCACACATGCTTCAGAGGGCAGACCTTCCACAGCCTGGTGGTTGCTCACCTATCTCCCTTTCTGTTCCATCCCAATCACCCACGTGGACCCTTTCACTTTGGCTTCTACATGTGTCTGAAATACACTCTCTCCCTCTGCACCCCACTAGCAAACTCCTACTCATCCCTCAAAACCCATCTGGAGCACCTCCTCTACCATTCCCAACAGCAACCTCGCCTGTGTCCTTACTGCACGCCCACAGCAATTACCTGGTTATCTGTCCCTGTCTCATGACAGGTCCTTCAGGCTAGGGACCATTTTTTAGTTGATCATTTTGTCTCCAGTGCCCACCCCCACTGCCTGGCACAAAAAGTAAATGTTGGCTAAGTGAACAGTGGCCCTCATTTCATCATGAGTAAAACTTGAGGGCTAAAGGTTGTCTCTAAGGCACTCTCCACTCAGATACCCTATGCTCCTGGGACTCTGGTCTCCTCCAATCTGGCTTTGGAAAGGGGCAGGAAATTGCCAAAGCGGCCCTGTAGGGATTCTGCAAGCAGGTAGGTGGCCAGGCAGCCGGCAACGACCAACAGATCCCCCTGGACACAGGGGCATGGCCTCTTGCAAGGTCACAGGGCCCAGATTCACCAGCTGCCCGGATGCTGTGCTTCATAAATATTTATTTTCAGAGCACCTTTTAGGTGGAGAAATCAAGCAATGTTCTACGAGCATTGGCAGGTGGTGGGATGACCGACCTGGGAGAGGACAGGGCTTCCCAAGGTTCCTAAGAACCACAGGGACTGAAGCTATTTGAGGCAGAGGTCAGTCTCCGGGCCCTGTCAGTGTGAAGGCCCTGGCTAAGACCTATATGTCCCTGGGGTATGCAGCTGGGTGGAAGGTGTGTCAGGGACTAGAAGGAGTCTATCAGCCCCTCCCTTGCAGACACCGCATTCCTCACGGAGCCACTCCACACACCAGGAAGCCCCATCGGCTGGCCCCCCCGCAGCTCCCACAAAAGGACGACTGGGGCCTTGACATCCTCCTATAAGACCCGGACCTGCCCCCCTGAATTATCACAGACACAGGAGCTCACAGCCAGCAAGCCGTGACCATGTGCTCACTTTTAAAACAACAATTCCCACGGAAATTATACGGCAACTCTACAGACAAGGATTTTACTATTGGCCAGAACGCCCTTCCAAGGGGAGTTCTGTAGGAGGCCGCCATTTTTCTATGCCAGGATCCCCTATTCCCATGTTCTCCTGCCCTTCCCCGCAGTAAGGCGCTGTGTTGGCGGTGATCAAAACACACCCGAGAGTGAGCGTCTGCAGTCGGCTGCGGCCCGCTTCTCACTAAGCAGAGAGAAGAAAAGTAAATGTCTTCTCTCCTGAGAGCCTCCCACGAACCCTGCCATGGGGCAGACGCTGCCATCATCACCACCTTTGTCCTACAGGGTTCCAACCCTCAAAGAGTTGATGCTGCCTCTCCAGGGGCTCCTTGGGGACTCTGCCATTCCCAGGCACTGGGGGCCTGTGCCCAGCTTCTCAGTCTCCACATTGGCGGCTTCTCAGTCTCCGTAGGAGACCCGGTGGAGCCAGCATGAGGGTGACCAACTCCCGGGTGTGCCTGACATCCCCTGGGCAAGCCCTCAGTCCCAGACAGCCCGGTCTGTGCCCTAGGCACTGTGCACCCCGCCCCAGGCTAGCAGGACCCTGAGCCAAAGAGGGAGGACGTAAGTCACGGAGCAGATTCCCACCAGCTGGGGAAACAGAAGCACAAAGGCTGTGGCCAGCAAATCAGCCAGCCGAAGGGGAGTGGCCTGAGAAGCAAGGTGGGGGCCCTGCTGGGAAGGGGCCCATTTTGAGGGGGAGGGCAACATCCCGGCCCCACTGGAGTCTGGGTATGCCGGCCAGCCTGAGCAAGCCTCAGACTCCCCAGCTTATACCTAAGGTCAGTGCAGGGGCTGCATTTCCCACACGTAAATGATACCAAAGTGCTGAAAGATCTGCAGAGGGAACTCTCTCCTACTTACCCATGGCCCTGGGGAAAACTCTGCCCTGTGCAATCTTTAAGAGACTGTAAAGAATTCAACTCAATGCCATTCACCAAATGCTAAGCATCCACTAAGGAGGGCCTTGCTCCAGGGGGTCTAAGACAAACAAAATGACCCGCCTGAGGGCTTCATGACTGTCAGTTGCCAAGTGAGCACACACCTCATCTCTTGCAATCCTCTCAGCTACCCAAAAGAAAAGTCCTATTGTTAGCCTACTTTGCAAATAAGAGCAAAGCTTCCAGACCCCAGTCAGAGACGAGCAGAGCCTGCCTTAGCCAGCCCAGCCCTCCCTGACTCTGACACAAAGCCCCATGGCAAGTGGACCTCAGGAAGACCCTGGACCCTGCCCCAGCAGACATGGATAAAATCAGTGCCTCTGGGTCCTGAACACTCCCAAGGAGACCAGTGACGAGAACAAGAAATAAGCCCCTTTCACCTTTTGCGGGAGCCAAGGTGAAGGAGGGAAACTGAGGCACTGAAAGATTAACCAACTGACACTGGCAGGTACTGACATCCACCTGGATCTCCCAGTTAGGACTGAACTGGTCAAAACTAGGACTTGGCCCCATCATCCCTCCTCCAACCAGGTCCCAGTGCCCTTGGTCAGCCTGTCTTGGGGAGGGCAATGTCGGGCGGGCAGTCTCCACCAGGTAACCCGCATCTCCTTGAGGAGGATTTGGGTTGCCTGGAGAGGCGCCTGCTTAGCAGGAAAGAATGACGAATGGTTCGGCATGGAACGCCAGGCAGCAGAGGGGAGCCCCTCCCGGCTCCCTCCTCCCCACCTAAGAGACATGAAGGTCCCTTCCTGAGTGCTGTCACTTTCTAAAACTCGCTCAGAAGGGCGGACCTCCCTCCTGAAATTGGATCAGCAGAAAAGAAACAAAGATCCAAGTCAGATGTGAGCAGACAGCTCCTGAGGGCTCACGCGTGGCTCTGCCTCCCAGTGTCAGATCACCTCAATCGCCCCACACACCTGTGGGCTGCCTCGGCTAAAGGGAGGTCCCCGACTCCCCCAACCCCAGCCTCATTCAAGCGGCAGAAGTCGGCTTTCTGCTACCCAGTAATTCTAGGAATGGAATCCCCCTCCAAGGTTACAGGCTGCCGAGGCCTCAGAATTTGACTAAAGGAGAGGAGCTACCCACCACATCCAGGAGGAAATGTCCACTGAGCACCAGGAACAACTTGGGTCACGCAGGTCACCGGTGAATGGGCTCAGCTACTGGCACTCCATAGAGTCAATAAGGAAGAACCTCATAGCAACTTAAGTTCACTGGGGGACGAGGGGACTCTTGGGAGCGACGTTCTGTTGTTAGGGAATGAACTGCAGCAGGTCAACAGGACCCAGGGTACATGTCACATTGTGACACCCAAACAAACAGCAGGCCTGACACCTGGACAAACAGCAGGCCTGGAGAGGCAAAGTTACATCGATCGCAAGCCACATATCACACACATCAAAGAGCAGGAGGAAGAGGGGCTAGAGGGTGCTGGCCTCAATCCGGACCCACCACCACTACAAAATGTGCCTTGGCATCACAGCCCCCTGCCTCTCCCAGAGCTGCACTCATGCCCTGGCATCGTCAGCTGAATGCGGGCAACATTCACTTTGGGCAAACTTGGCTCTAACTATTAGCGCCTCATGCCTGGCACACAGACACAGAACAAATGTGCCAGATCTTCTTCCTCTAAGAATTTCATTCTCTGGTAGAAGTGAAGGAAGATGTTTCACATTAAGGCAGCCTCCCCACCCCATTTTTTCTACACTGAGGGCCACCTGGCTTGGAAGGACCCTGGGTTCTTTTGGCAGCCACCGTCTGGGCTGGGGCAGAGCTTCACCACCCCTGGAAGTGACCACGGCAAGTCTCCCGTGACCAGTCTGAGCCCAGGTTTCCCTCCAGTGGGATGGGGGTAATGAGACCGACCACCAGTGTTATCTTCCGGACAGAGGAGAGGCCAGGTGTAAAAGTGCAGGGTGCACGGGGTGTTCTGGCGCTGAGGCTGTCTGTCCCTTCACTCTGCTTGCTTAACGTCAACTAATAAAGACCCAGGTCGCCTCTCTCCCTCTCTGGAGGAGCCCTCCAGAGAAGACACGCATCCCAAAAAAAAGAGCCAGAGAGGAGACACTGACCCTAATGCTGGAATTGGAGGCCAAGCAAGGCCTGGACAGCAGAGACCATCTTAGAATGGCACAGGGTGACAGTGATCTCTAATACAACTGACAATGGCAGACAATTCCTAGAAGGAAACATTGCTTTGAAGTGTTCCTAAATCCCATAGCAAAACAAATGGCCAACAGCTACTCGAGTTCCCCAAACCCATAACTCCTTTCAGGAAGGTGAAGACACTCATTCATTCATTCTTGAGTCAGCACGTGTGTCCCGGGCCACATGCAGGAAGCTGGGATGGCTCGTGTGCTCCCTCACTGGTGGGCATGGGGCCCATGGTGGGACCCGCTTTCCTCCACCGGGAGTTACCCCTCTCGTTCCCCTGCTCGGTCCTGGGTGTCACGCCCCTTTTCTGTACTTTCACCTTTCAGGGCCCAGGACAAAGCCTGCTAGGTCGCTGCTGCTGCATATACTGATCTGAACGCACAGTGCGTGTAGCAGACAGCAGTGACAGTAAGCTGGCCGACCTTCGCCCTGGCATGGGCAGAGTGGGCATGCAACAAGTCTTAAAAGAACAAAAAGCACACAAAGTACGTTTTCCAACCGCCACAGAATTAAAACCAGAATCAATAACAGAAAGATATCCATTAAAGAATATGTACATAGGTCAAGCAGGAAGGCTCAAGGGAAATTGAAAAATATTTTGAACTGAATGAAAATGAGAATACAACACATCAAAAATTGTGGGATTCTGGCAAGGCAGAGCTAAGGGGGAAATAGCTTATATCAGTGACGAAGAAAAGTCTCAAATCAGTAATATAAGCTTTGCCCTCAGAAAGAGGAGTAAATTAAACCCAAAGCAGGCCAAGAGGAAAAAATAAAAGATAAGAGCAAAAATCAATCAAATTAAAAAAAAAAAATCACACCTAAAGCTGGTTATGGGGGGCGGGGGTGTTTCAATGAAATTGATAAACCTCTAGCCACACAGACCAAGAAAAAGAGAGAAGACACAATTACCAATTCCAGAAATAAAAGAGGGGACCTCCCTACTGACCTCACAAACATTAAAATTATAAGGGGACACTGTGAACAAGCTACACCCACAAATTCGATAACTTAGATGAAATGGACCATCCTTGTAAGACACAAACTACCACAATCCATTCAAGAAGAAATAGTTCTATATCTATTAAAGGAACCTTCCAAAAAAGGAATGCTCCAGACTCTGATGGTTTCACTGTATGAATTCTACCAAGCATTAAGGGAAAAAGAATACCAGTTCCACGCAATCTCTTCCAGAATACAGAAGAGGAGGGGGGGAACACTTCCCAACTCACTTTATGAGGCCAGCATTACCTTAACACTAAAAGCAGACAAAGACGATACAAGAAAAGAAAAGTGCAAACCAATATTCCCCATAAATAAAGCCATAAAAATCCAAATCCAGAAACATATACAAAGGAGAATACATCAGGATCAAGTAGGGGTCACCCCAGGAATTCAGAGCCGGTTCAACATTCAAAACATCAATATAATTCACCCTATTAACAACCAAAGGAGGAAAAACCGCATCATCGTCTCAACAGAAGCAGAGGAAACAGGATCCCAGAGTTTGCGTCTTGCCCAAGGTTACCACGAGCCTCAGCCCTGGTCAGTCTTGACGGAGTCAAAAATTACGGAAGACAAAACTGAGGTCCTTGAAAACATCACAAAACAAGTTATCTCATATAATGACCTGGTGTTTATTTTAACTGGGGTGATAAAATTGAAAGATTTCTAAAAACAATTTTGAGTAGCAGGCAAACATCCTTCCCTGAAAGGCAGTTCAGACACCCCACACCTGCCATTGGGGTTTCACCTCCAGTGGTTTACTGCCCACATTGCACGTGGGGACTGTGCAACCAGGGAGACCTGCCCCCTACCCGGTCTCTCAGCTTCCTTAACACAGGGGCTTTGCCGCTTGCAGACACCCTCAGGTGAGCTGCCCTTGACAATTAATAATGCATCTCTCCACCCTCATCTCATCCTGGTCTTCGCCACAGCCCCGTTACTACCCCTACTCTACACACCAGGAAACTGAAACACACTTCTTGACACTTACACCGAGTTAGTGACTTCACTGCCCATATGCTCACCTGAGCAGGTGAGTCCCTGTGGAAAAGGGACCTGATATCTGGGCTTGAAAGGGGCCCACATGGACTGTCCCCTTGCTCTGGGGACCTCAGTGTGCTCTGCCAGCCTGGGTGCTCCAAGAAGCCAGCAACCCCAGTGGGGCCGCCTTCTGAATCCTGGAGGTGCCCCTGCTTGTGGACAGCAAGTCACAGGCCCTGTGCCCATCCACCTGCCGGCCAGCTTGCTTCACGCAGCTGCCCGGTTGAGAAGTGAGAATCCCATGGCAGGGAGGACACAGAGAGGCAAGAAGGGCCTTGGGCAACCAGGCTACAGCAGGCACACTCCTCGTCCCGATGGGTCATGTTTTTAAATTACAAACAAAACCAAGATTCCATACCAGCTGAAGCGGGCCCGGAAGAGAGCTGGTTGAGGGCATGGCACCCAGCAGTGGCACTGTTCAGTACTATGTGGCAGCCACTAGCCACAGGTGGCTCTCAAGGGCTTGGAGTGCCACGGGATGAAATGATTGCTCCGATGCATGTTTTTTTGTTTTTTTTTTTTTTGAGATAGAGTCTCACTGCGTTGCTCGGGCTAGAGTGCCTTGGCGTCATCCTAGCTCACAGCAACCTCAAACTCCTGGGCTCAAGCGATCCTTCTGCCTCAGCCTCCCGAGTAGCTGGGACTACAGGCATGTGCCACCATGCCCGGCTAATTTTTTCTATATATTTTTAGTTGTCCGATTAATTTCTTTCTATTTTTAGTAGAGACGGGGTCTCACTCTTGCCCAGGCTGGTTTCGAACTCCTGAGCTCAAACAATCCGCCTGCCTCGGCCTCCCAGAGTGCTAGGATTACAGGTGTGAGCCACCGTGCCCGGCCCCGATGCATGTTTTGATAACAATAAAATATATTGTTAAAATTATTTTTTATGTTTCTTTTCTATTTTCCATTTCTTTTTACTAAGTTAATGTGGCCAATAGAAAAGTTTAAATTACATATGTGACACATGATGTTTCTATTGGACAACACAGGGTTAGCACCCTGAAATCCTGCAACTCAGATGCCCACGGAGTGAAGAAAAACCTTGAAACTCAGGCCAGGGACTGACATATTTTAAAACCAGAAACTTTGACAAAGGAGGGAGGAGAGCTCTCGCATAAGACCAACACATAATACTGAATGCTGTTGATTTTTTTTTGTTCTTTTTTTTTGTTTTTTTGTTTTTTAAGAAAAATTCCTTGGCAACAGGAAGCTTAACTGTTACCAACAAGGGCAGCAGTAGAAAAACAGAATGTTCGTCAATGAGGGTCACCCTGACCTGGCCCCCAGCTCCAGCTCTCTCCAGCTGCACGGCCCCTTCAAGCTCTGGAGGGAAAGGAGAAAGAGCAAGGAAAGCCCTGCCCACACCCCCTCAGTCTTCCCCTGCCCACTGGCTGAGGCTCTCACTCTTGCTTCTGGGGCTGGAACACAGGCCTTGCTTCGATTGCCTTCAGGCAGGCCCCCTAGCTGGGTCTGGGAGGGTTGGGGGACACTACACCTTGCATTCTGTCCTGTGGCTCCAAGCTCCTTCACCCGAGTTAAGGGTGACCCACCCTTCCACAGGGAATCTCTCCTCCAGAAAGCGTCTGCCCCTAAGCCAGGCCTGGCATTCCAAGTGCCCTTTCCACCTGTGATTCGCTGTGGTGGAAAACATGATCCACAGCCCTGCCACTGACCATATGAGTCCAGAGATGCTCCAGTGGCCTTTGCCTGTATGTCCTCCAGGGGCAGCCCTGGGGCTGGTGGTAACCTACTATGTTGATTTGCATAGTTACCATGGATAGGTTCGCGTGCTGAAAACGCGGGAGCGTACACACAAGACCCATCACTCCTCTGACTAGATATTGTACCTCAGTGACAAGTTTACTAAAATAAGAATAGTCTTCCCCTCTTCTCCTGCATGCCCATCCACGTCAACTGTCCTGCACTCCCTTGGGGCAGCTGCCAGCCTTCTCTTCTTGTCCCCCTCAAGGCCTGTGCACTGGGGAATCTTGCCCCACCGGTTCATCATTTTCAGGTCCCAGGTCACCTCCCTCAGAGTGCGGAAACACCTTATTGAGATTTCAATCCCACCTGTCCACCAGTTACTATCTA